TCCTGAGCTGAAGTCAGACTAATGAGATTTGAGTTGTACACAGCTTAATAGAAAATGTGATCCTCACAAAAAGCAAACAATCCTTTTAAGACAGTAAGTAGTTGAAAACATTGACTACTGGGGCATCTTAAGTGTTCTGATAACCTCTGGGTAATATCCCATTCCCCCCACCAAAGACTGTAGAAAATGGTGCTAACCTTTTATCAATTAACCTTGATACTGCATTGTAACCCCACTCAAATCACTACATTCCTGAATGATCTTCAACAGAAGATTAGACATGGGAGGGAACATTACTCATATGCAGTTAAGAATTCTCAAATCTAATTTTTTATAATTTTATCTTAATTTGCTTGGATTAGCAAGCATTACCAAAAACTAGGAATAGGCCACTGGGATTGAAAAAAACAAAAACAAATACATGCACATGTGCACAGCTGCATTGATTTCACTTCAATTGCTAATAAAATATGCTACACTTCAATATTTTGAAGAGATGAGAAAAAAAAGCAGGATATTAATACTTAAATATCCTATTTAAATTTAGAATCACAAGAAAAAATCTTTTATTCCAGGGCACAGAAACCTACTAAAACACCTCAGATAGGTAATTTTTTAAGGAAGACATTAAATTTCAATTATTTACTCCCTACTAACAACTAACTCAGAATTAACAGTAACCATGGAAGTGCTTTAAAATTCTTTTCAGAGTAAGTAAATAAGTAGTAAAACAGAAACAAAACAGGAAAAATGCCTGAACAGAAGAAAGGGAAGAGCAAAAGGGACAGAAACGTGAAGTATTTAAAGAAGCTGGCAGACAACAGGAAAAAACAACAAAATCCCATCTCCCACAAACAAAATTTAGGAAAAATGTAAACTTTTTACTCACAAAGTCATCTTCTCCTTCAGCTAAACCATAGTTAGGCAGAATAGCTCCTTCCATTGTAGTACTCTTGAATACACCTTTAATTTTGCTGCCTATTCTGCTGATTGCAAATGTTTCTCCTCTTTTCTGCGTGGTCCTGAGGATTATACAAACCAGAGCTCACAATATACAGCAAGTCAAAATTTTAGATAAAAAAAAGCCACTACATATATTTGGGATAACATCAAGCAACAGTACAAAGGAGGCAAGTGCTACAAGCATTTTCAGTTTAGCATTGTAAGTTCACTGTCCATTGCATTTTAAGATTTACTGACTAGCTAACTGCCCCCTGAGGTAAGAAAAAAAAATTAACACAAGATTTGAACAAGATGGGGAACAATGGACTTCAATCATAGGCTAACACTGATGTTCTCATTATAGCATTACAGTAACAAAACACAGAGCACTAACTTCACAAGATAACTTTTCTAACTAAAAGAATTATAGAAATGGAGGTAGTGTGTATGACCTTTCTTATGAGCGCTTGTAGCAACACCACCATTTCAAACAAAGCATTAGTCCATATTTGCTAACTGCTGCACATCTAAGCATACTGTTTAATTTTTCTATAAACATCCAAGTGGTTTTGGGTACATGTGATGCAAGACAGACCCTGATGACTTTAAAACAGCAAGAAGAGAAGGCAAAAAGCCAAAAGGTGGCAAAAGCCAACAAGGAATGTTAAAGCTGACTGAACAGGAAAGAAAACAGACCTAACTTGGCTTAAGGAGGCCTAGAAATAAAAGCTTGATATGAGGTTTAAAATCTTCTTAAGAGCAAAGCAATTTAAAACAGAGCATCCAGAAGTTTGCAACTTTAAGTAAACATGGACAAATGTTAGGCATCAAGTGCACATCTCATTCAAGTCACATGTTGTAGCATTTTGACACACACTGCACATCAATGCATGCTTACCACAGATACTGCCTTTACCCAGATCTGACAAGGAATGGTAAATTTTTAACAGGGGAAGTGCAAATGAAATAGTTTATACAGAATTCCACCAGGAAGATTAAAGAGTGTCCCCAGTGCATAGTTTTCTAAAGTCCTTTAAAAACTTTTTAATGTGGAATATACAAACCAGGAAGGTAAACTGCAGAACTCTAAAGATGCAGAGAGATTGGTTGGGATTCAAAGAAGAAATGCACATTTTAGCAAAACAAATGCATCCAATGGTTAATCAGTTCTCTATTTTTTTTTATTTTTTTAAATGTTTTATTATTTATTTACAAGCCACTGGGGAAAGCAGAGCAGTTCACATCTGACAAAGCAGTTTCATCATCTAAACAGCAATACTGCCAATGGCACTAATTGTCAACTCTAAAAGCTTTTTCTTGTTAGGGGGGACTTGAATGTTTGCTTTCAATATTTCCTGATCAGAACTACCATGTACATGTGCACACGTAATATTCTAAAACTGAACAAATCACTTGATTGCTCTTCCAAGCCATTTCTGTTTCTCACCTTTAAGTCTCTGCCATTTCCCATTTGAAGAAAGGCATCAGTTTGCCAACCTTGCCATAAACCATACGCACTATTCATGATACTATGATACCCTCAACATACAACAACCCCAATTTTTATCATTTACAATTTAGCCAAGTTTACTACTGAGCCAAACTTTAACCAATTGTATTGAGATGTTTTCATGCTGGTGCGCACCTAGAAAAGAACAGTTTAGAGATTACTTAGAGAAGCTTGATGCTTTCAATTCTGCAGGACCAGATGGGAATGGGATGCACCCTCTGGTACTGAAGGAACTGGCTGAGGTAATATCAGAGCCATCTGAGAACTTGTGCAGGTCCGCTGAGGTTCCAGATGACTAGAAATGGGCACATATAGTGCCCACCTTAAGAAAGGGAAGGAGAAGCAAACACGGACTAGAAGAAAGTAGTATAAGGTGGATTCAAGACTGGTTGCATCGCTGTACTCAATGAAGAATCCCCAGGATCTAGTAACATTGAACATCTTCATTAATGATCTGGATGATGGGAGTGCACGCTTAGCAAGTCTGTAGATGACATCAAGTTGGGTAGAGCTGCAAACGCATGAGACTCACCTGGATAAACTGGAAACGTAATCCACAATCAATCAGATGAAATTCAACAAAGGACAAGTGCAACATCCTGCACTTTAGGCACAAAAGTATTCTTCATGAATATAGACTGGTAAAGAAATGGCTAGGCTACAGTATTGCAGAAAAGAACCCAGAATATTACACTGAATGGATGAACACTGTGCGCTTGTTGTAAAAAAAAGCAACCCCCCCAAAAAAGACAAATTAAAAAAATCCAGTATATTGGGGTGCATTAACAGACACTTTCTTGCAAATCAAGGGAAGGCATTTTTCCTTTCTATTTAGTACTGCTGAGGCCTCATCTGGATTATTATGTGCAGTTCTGAGCCCCATACTTTAACAAAGAAGTGGACAGACTGGAGAGTCCAACAGAGAGAAAAAACCTATTAGACCTAAGAATCATGGCTTATTAGGAAAGGCTGAAAGAACTACGATTATTTAGTCTGAAAAAAAAAAAAAGAGAAGATAAAGGGGGAGTTAATTACAGTTTTCAAATACCTGAAGTGTGATTACAAACAAGACGGAGACAGACTTTTCTTTGGGGCTACAGGGGGCAGGACTGAGATCAATGGCCTCTACCTGCAGCAGAGGAAATAGGAGGAAGTTTCTGACTATAAGGGTGGTCAAATACTGAAATAAGATACTTAGAAAAAAGTTGTGGAATCTCCATCCTTGGAAGTTCTCAAGAGCAGGTTAGACAGACACTTGGCTGAGATGGTTTAGTTAAGGATGATCCTGCCTTGACCAGGGGACTGAACAACAAAACCTCATGAGGTCCCTTCCAGTCCTCCTTTTCTATCATCCTATGCTCCAAAACAGTTTATCTGCTTGAGAAGGACAATGTACATTTTTGTGCTGGTATCAAAGTCAATTTTAACAACTTCTTGGAAACCTGATATCCCCTCCCCTGCAAACTGGGGCAAGAGCTTAATATTTGGCATGAAGGTGGGAGAGAATAACTTGAACAAGGAGCCCAAGAATGCAGAAGAGAATGGAAGGGCAATTTGAAACAAGGAACAATAGGGCTGAGAGAGAGACTGGATGAAGAACCTCACAAAGACAAGTAGGAGCTAGGAAGTTGTGGAGGAAGCACAAGAGAAACCAAATGAGGAGCCATGAAAGGGGATTATAATTGGCTGAAAAGAGACTGACTAGAATGAGAAACCTGTGGAGACTATTAGTTGAGTGAAGAACGTGAGACTTGGACAAAGGACCTGAGATGGTGAACACACAACTTGAACAGGAGCAATTTGGGAGAAGAAGGGCAGGTGTTGTAGAAAGGGGCAAGTTTGAGAAGCTGAATGTGCAAATTGTGAATTTTTAAAATTAATTTAATTCAGAAAACACATTTTCATAGATGTTTAAAAACAAAATGGTTTATGGCTGTTAAAGGCAGTATGATGTGGTCACGACAAAAGCAGTCCAGCATTAACAGGCAACAATTACAGCATAGTACTTTGACTTACCGAAAATCATCGAAACTCAGGCTACCTCTGCAACAACAGGCACATGAAATTACACCAGAAGCCCAAAAGAATAATGTTCCAAAGAAAGCCACAAGGTTACTTCAAGCAAAACCAGTCTAGGTCCTTCACTATATCCACTAGCAGAGATACTGGTGCACTTATTATAGTCTCTACAAACTTAAAGATTTACATACTGATACCTTCCAAAAGCAGAATGTTAATATCAAAATTTACTAAAGGGGATAGGAGAGAAAAATCAGCATATATTCAATGAACTTAGGGTTGTTGTATTTTAAAAAACCCAGTCCTGAGAACATTTAAGCATGTGCTTGAAATTAAGCAAATGAATAGCCTCTGTTAAACAGAGATTACTCTCATTCTTAAAACTAAACGTGTGCATATGTTCAAAATTACACTGCTAGGCTGTAATCCAGGTTGGAAATTTATACAGGTCAGACTCTTTAAACAAAGCTGTGGGAAAACCTCATGCATTTACTTTTATAAAAGCACAAGATGTACTTTGTGAAGAAGTCTGAAAATGTAAATGGCTCTTGCATAAATTTTAACAATTGAAGAGACCATTTCACCATCTAGTCTGCTCCTCTGCACAATACAATAATTCTGATCAAGCTCAACCAAACTCATGTTAAAACACAGTAATAACCAATATCTCTATAGAAGCCACGGTTGGTTTCTGGTACATGAAAACTACCACTGAAGAGCCAGCATGGGTAAAAAGAAAAAAACAAACAGATTGTAGGATCCAAGTTTCCACATTTCCTCTTTAGAATTATTTAAAAAAAAAAAATCAGCAAGTTTAACATCTCAGATTGTTCTTTAACAGTGAAATCTTTAATTGTGAAGTCTGAAATATGGTCAGCTTAGTAGCATGTAAGTAGCATATATGGGGAAATAACAGATTCAGAACGTTCTGGCATTCAGTCTTAGAGGGGGAAACAGTAGTTATTGAGCTTTAATTCAGTAATGATCATTAGGAATATCCTTACCATAACTCTTTAATACTTAGGACCTCTGAGCCTTAACTTAGGTAGTTTCTTGTGAAAATTAATAATCTGATCTGTAAAATGAAACTTTAACTGTGTTTGTCTAGTATGGCTTAATATGCAAGTCAAGCATTGCCCAGAGCCATTCATCTCTTTTAGTTTCCCCACAGTGCTCTCTAGCAAAGGAAAGGAAGTTACTGAGCAAGAACTATAACTGTAGTTCTTTGAGATACACTGTCCAACTGCACATCCCAAAGTGCCTATGCAATTCATGTCAGCAGCATCCAGAAACACATATTGCACCCTACCAATCCTTGCACTTTTGACTATGGACATAAAAGGGCAGAGTGTAGCTACTTTACTGGACAACATCTTAAAAAAAAAAAAAAAGATGGCTATAAAGTAACTTTACTTTCTTCAAGTGATTGACCACATGCACATTCTATTGAGAACGATTCAGACCAAGTCCACTCAGGCAAATGTTTGAAGTGCTCCACATTCTACTCCAGTTTAGAGTGTTTTGGCTCAGATGTGTGGCTCCCTGCCACATATCCCCAACACAGAATTTCAAAATTTCCATGACAGCATGCAGCGGCATGCTTTCGAATCAGGTGGCGTGACGAGATTTATTGGTGTAGGTCAGAGGTTCCCAAACTGTAGTACACATACCCCTGGGGGTATGCAAGACATTTCTGCAGGATACAGGGGAGAAATTGTGTAATGGCAGATTTAATTTTTCATTATTATAATTGGGATTTAAGGGGTAAAGTATGCTGGTAGGAGTACATGGGCAGCTGGTAAAATCTGGAAGGGGTATGGTAATAAGAAATTATGGGAACTTGACAGTCACCTGGCTGGGGTCATCTGACCTTGGTCATCTTTCCTGCCAGGGGTAGGGGATCGGACATGATGAGTGGTCCCTTCTGACTCTACAATCTATGAAACTTTTGGTGCAGGTAAAACTGTTCAAGAAGGAACCTAACGTGTATTCTTATTGCTACCTTCTCCAGATGAAACTATGATGGGGCAAAACACGGTTATGGCATGAATTAACCCAAACTGCTCTGACAATAGCAAAGAAAAATCAAGAAGGCAGTCTTCACTAACAAACACCACAGAACATGACATCACTGATTCAAATGGAAAATCCATGAGTGGAAAGTTGCCTGGCATTCAATTCCAGTAGTATTCTATAAGATGGCTGGTATTCTAGTTGTATCAAGCACCAGCAGTTCAAAGATGACCCTCTAGACCAGGGGCAGGCAAAATACGACCCACGGGCTGAATCTGGCCTGCCAGGCAATTCCATCCAGCCTAGTTTTTCTGGGCTCCAGAAGTTTCTCCTCGTCTCCTTGCTGCAGTGCTTGCTCCGGGCAGCAAGTAGGGAAGCAGTAGGGGGAGCTGTGGCAGGGCAGGCAGGGGGCTGTAGCTGGCAGAGCTTGCGTTTAGGGGGGCAGCAGGAACACGGAGCTCAAGTGGGCAGGGTGTGGGTCTGAGGAAGGGTGTTGGGATTCCCCTGCACACTCCCCTCCAAGGCACATAGCTCACTGCCAGTGGCAGCAGCAGGCAGGAGCCCTTGGGGCACTCGTGGCACTGTAGCTTGGCAGTGTACAGCTCTGACCGACACTGCACATGGTGACAAGGAGAGCAGCCAGACCAGTCCACCACACAAGTGCGGCTCCCAGCACTTGCATGCCAGCAGGGAAAGCCCCTCGTGATGGAGACAGCTACCTATTCCACCATGTGCAGTTTCTGGGACTCTGCCAAAACTGGTGGGGAGCCCTGCCGCCTGCTTACGATGGCAGCCAGCTCCATCATGCAGGGGGCACGCGAGTGCCAGGAGCTGCATGTGTGGAGTGGGACGTGCCCTGCAAGAGCTAGGCCAGCCTGGCTGCACTCGTTGCTGTCATATGTAGTTCCAGCTGGAGCCGCATGCTGATGCGCACCTGGAGGGCCCCTGCCTACTGCTGCTGCCACAGGCAGCAGGAGCTGTGTGCTATGGGGGAGAGGGTGTGGGAGGGTC